GGGCGCCGCCCGCCCACGCCCCCCCCCCCTCCCGCTGCCACCATGGGGAGCCTCGGCTGCTGCCTCCTGCTCGCCCTGGCCCTGCTCGGCCCCTGCGCCGCTGCTGCCAGGAAGGTAAAGGCAGGCTGGGGGCAGAGCCCGGACGGGGGCTGCCCATGTGTCCTGTGCCATGCCGTGCCGTGCCGTCCCCAGGGAGCGGGGTGAGCGGGCGGGGTGCTGCACACCCTGGCTGTGCCAAGCGCTCCCTGGTACCATCCCTGGGGTGCAGCGTGAACGGCCAAGGGGCTGCCTGCTCTTGCTGTGCCACGCGGTGCTGCCTGGGGCCACGCTGTGCCATGCCGTGCTGTGCTGCTCCATTTCTGTGGTTTGGCCTCAGTTGGCAACAAAGAACCACGCAGTTGCTCTCTCACTCCTCCCCTCTTCCCAGGGGGATGGGGAGGAGAATCAGAAGGAAAAGGCAAAACTCCCTGCTTGTGCTAAGAACAGTTGAACAGAACAGAAATGGGAGAAGAACAACAATAATACTGACGAAAGGAATACGCAGCATGCAATGTTCTCACCTTCCAACACTAATCTTGCTCCTGAGTAACACATCCTCCTCCTTCAGCAAGCTCCCCACTTCAATACTGAACATGACATCACATAGTATAGAATCCCCCATTTCATTGGCTGGTTTGAGCCAGCCCAGCCAGCTTCTTGTGAGAATTTACCCTATCCCAGCTGAGCCCAGGACATTATGCAACCCCTATTCTATACCATCTACCTCAGGCCCCAGGTCCACACTTTCCAATTTACTACTATCACTTTTTCTGGTTTTATATATGTGTATATGTACACACACACACACACAGATATCATTCCCCTGGTCTATTCACCATCCCTCTGAAATGTCCGTTGAGTTCACTTCCTGCCTGATGTTGTTCTCCATCTGTTGGAACAGTCTTCCAGGCCAGGAGAGATCACTTGTAGTGTTGGAAGGTCGCTTGCTGCCTCTGGAGCAAATGACTGGTTTTATCAAAGCTCATCCTCTATTAATTTTGATGACTCTTACTGTAATACCATTGACATGGCATATAGCAACAATAGTACTGAGACTTGGTCGACTTGGTCGCCATCACAGAAACGTGGT